GAAATGCCGACTCTGACCTTTAGGGAGGAGTCAGTATGCAGACCTTTAATTCTTGCTAGCAATCTAGGATCTATTCCGAGGTTTGTAAGTTTTTCCCATAGTCGTCCTCTTGGAATGGAATCAAAAGCAGCTTTGAGGTCGAAGGCCACATATAATTGTCTTGAGGGTACTTTAGTATATTTGTTAATTAGATGGTTTAACAAAAAAAGATATAATCCGACGTGGAGTGACCCTCCCATAGTCCTTCTGTCTAGCAAGATCTGTTTGGGAGAAGGTTAATTAGATGGTTTAAAAAAAAATATGATCCAACGTGGAGTGACCCTCACATGGTCTTTCTGTCTAGCAAGATCTGTTTGGGAGAAGATTATTTTCTGTTACCCATACTTCCAGTTTAAGGAGAAGATGTGCGTAAAGTTTGCCTATGACATCAAGTAAACTTATAGGTCTATAATTAGCTGGGTCCTTTCGCTCTCCTTTCTTGATCCCAATTTAAAATAGGTAGGTTCGTTGAGTTGACATAAGGATGACATAATTTGGATATCATAGAAAACCAATCAGAAGTCCAAATAGTGATGACGGCAATGTTTAAAACATGACATCTAAGCTGAACCATTAAAAAAAAAAATTGGCATACTAACCGTGGCCAACACCCCCTACTCTAAAATTTGTTTGAAACAGCTCTTTATATAGGGAGTTCCAGGTTGTTATCCAAAGGACAACAGCAATGAGAGGGCAAAACATGGGGAAATATCTGGTATATTTTGTGGCATTGCAAGCTTAAATGATAAAAATCTTGATAATATTGTGTGTTTGCATTCTGGAACGCAATCAGGTTTGTCTTCAGAAGCTGCTAAGATGGCAACTTTCCTGTGTTCCCTTGCAAATCTAGCAACTGTCACCAGGCTTTATTTCCCCCTATTGAGGGAGGGAGGTTCTGTGCACTGGGGGGGGGAACCCTTGTTTGAAATATGCAGTTCAGGACACAATTCAGTAAACAGTTGAAGGGTTAAAGTAATCGCGTCAGTTCCAGATTCTGCAAAATGTACTCCTTTCCCTCTCAAACTGGGGCATCTCCCTTTGTTTTCCAGGAATTCAATTCAGGGCTGCAGATTTACCTTGCAGCCTGCCAAAGTGATTATAGACAGTGTTCAATCTCCTCTCCAAGGCTTGATTAGCAGTATTTGCTTGCTCTGAAGGATTTCTCTAACAGATTTCTAGCCTCTTTTGGAGATGACTAATTGCAGCAGCCCATTTTTGCCCAAATTGTTTTATTTCTTCAGCTACCTCATACACTGCATCCAAGTCACATTAAGGCCCATTCACTGACTTCTACCCCATGACAGGACAGGCAGCTCCACCTGCTAGGCAAGGTGCTTTTGCAAGCAGTTCTTCTTTTTTGCTCCAAAAATGTGTCTAATGAAGCTTCTTTGATTCTTGTGGATTCCTGACTCCTATCTTAAACAGTTACTGTTAGAAGTTCCAACCATTCCCCTTTGTTAGTTTAGTTATAAGGTTTTTGGTGTTGTATCTCAGGAGACCAGGCAAAAGCAGCTATTTTCTCCATATTTGCTCAGGTAATTTTCTTCTGATGTGTAATGCTGATATAAAATGTATGCATGTTTTGTATCTCACACTTCCTGCTAGGAGATCAAGGTGATAAATGTATCTACCCTTCTCCTGCTGTGTTATTCACACCAACAACCCTGTGAGGTAGGTTCGACTGAGAATGACAGGTTGAAATAAAGTTGCATTTAACGACTAACTGAGGCTTTGAAACCAGGTAATCCCAATTACAGTGTACTAATTTAATATTTAACATGCCATGAATAAGAAAATATTAAACATGGTCCTTCTGTCTAACAAGAACTTTCGCTTTAATATATTCTAAGTTACTATATACTTACATTAGTTAATTCTAAAAGAGAATCTTATACTGAGATCTTGTTTATACGTAATTATTTGACAGAGGATTTCAAAGGGAAAAAGAATTAATTATGAAACAAGTTACTAGAATGAATAAGGAAATTTTATTTTATTCAGTTATGTATGGATAAAGACAACAGTTTCAACTCCATAAAACTAAAGGTATGAATATACTGTATTTAGAAAGTCTAACTTCATGAAGATGCCAGTGTTAACAGCTCTAAATGGTTGGTAGGCTTACAGTATTTTGCATACATTTAAGCTCTAACTGGTAATTGTTGTTTAGTCGTTTAGTCGTGTGTGACTCTTCGTGACCCCATGGACCAGAGCACGCTAGGCCCTCCTGTCTTCCACTGCTTCCCGGAACTGGGTCAAATTCATATTGGTGGCTTCGATGACACTGTCCAACCATCTCATCCTCTGTCGTCCCCTTCTCCTCCTGCCTTCACACTTTTGTAACATCAGGGTCTTTTCCAGGAAGTCTTCTCTTCTCATGAGATGGCCAAAGTATTGGAGCCTCAGCTTCAGGATCTTTCCTTCCAGTGAGCACTCAGGCATGATTTCCTTCAGAACGGATAGGTTTGTTCTCCTTGCAGTCCAGGGGACTCTCAAGAGCCTCCTCCAGCACCACAATTCAAAAGCATCAATTCTTTGGCGGTCAGCTTTATGTTTCAGCTCTCACTTCCGTACATCACTACAAGAAAAACCATAGCTTTGACTATTCGGACTTTTGTTGGCAAGGTGATGTCTCTGCTTTTTAAGATGCTGGTGGGGTTTGTCATTGCTTTCCTCCCAAGAAGCAGGCGTCTTTTAATTTCTTGGCTGCTGTCACCATCTGCAGAGATCATAGAGCCCAAGAAAATAAAATCTGTCACTGCCTCCATATCTTCCCCTTCAATTTGCCAGGAGATGATGGGACCAGTGGTCATGATCTTAGTTTTTTTGATGTTGAGCTTCAGACCGTTTTTTGCACTCTCTTTCACCTCTTTTTTTCCCCAATGTTCCTTAATTCCTCCTCACTTTCTGCCATCAGAGTGGTATCATCTGCATGTTGGAGGTTGTTGATATTTCTTCCAGCAATCTTAATTCCAGCTCCGGATTCCTCCAGTCCGGCCTTTCGCATTTAACTTATATGCAGAATACATCATGCGAAAGGTCATAGACCTTGCTTTTGACATGTTATTACTGTTTAGCATAATCCCTCTCTATGCCTCTGTCTCTGTAAACTCTCAGGCATCTGACTAAATGGATTCTAATGCATGAAAATTTATTCCAAAAGAAAAGGTGTTAAACTTTAAGGTGCTCCAAGATCTTTCAAGACCTCTTAAACCATGCAAGAAAATAACTCAGTTACTTTTCTAGAAGTTGATATAATCATTTAATTTACAGCATGGTGTTGTACTTCTGTTACTTTTTTAAAAAAGCAATAACTAAATAAACACATCAGAAATTTGTTTTTTGTCTACAACAGAAGACAAAAATAAACTTATTACAAAAGGGCAAAGCTGCAATCTTAATTTTCCTTGGAAATACTAAAACCTCACTGAATTCAGTGGTAGTATATACAAAATCAATGTCAAAATGGCCAAAACATTCAATTTCAGTGGGGGCTGAATAATTTTGAACACAACTGTAATTATAGTAGTACAGTAGTATATAAATTGTCATGTGTGATTTACCTTAGCCAATCTCCTATAGAGAAAAGGAAATTAGCAACTGCAAAAGGTCAGTCTCTTCAGTATAATTAACATTAATGTTACTCTACTATTGCTATTAATGACAGAGGTTCTTACATCCTTAGAGAGCACGAGCTCCAATGGAATATACCTGTATATCAAAAAGGCTGTCACCCCACTGTTCTATACCCACTTTCCTACCAGTCAACCAACCATGATCTCTTTTTTTTTATGCCGTGCATAAATATTTGCCACGTTATATCTCGTATTATGTTGATCGAATGGCCACTAATGGAAACTATTATGTAAAATTATGTTTCTGTGCTTGCACATCGTAATAATCACGGAGGACGTTGAAAGCATGGTTCAGTACCGTGCTTTCGAAGTTTAAGGCTGCCGGCTTGAGAAGTGTAAACACCGAGCAGCTGAAGTGAAACTCGCCGCTGGCATTTTGAACCTTGCGGTCTCTCCTTCCTCAGCCTTTGTTAAAGAAAGAGGGAGTGGTGGATCCAAGGGCGGGCTGAATAACAACGATTTTATTCCACGCTCTTCTCTCATGACGTGCTTTTGTGGGAAGGGGAGACGATTATGAAGATCCTGAAAATCTCTGATCCGAGCCGAGCTCATCCTGACCCGGTGGGCGCCCCAAGACGTAGGAGAAGCTCTTCTTACAAGGCTGCCTTTCTCCTGACAATCCTTCATCGCTGTGTGGTCTTTAATTTTTAAACCTACACCCTCTGACGTAAAAAGAAAGCCTTCCCTTTTAAACCAATAAAGAGCCCGGGTAGTTCCTGATACCTTACGAAAGAGATGTGGGGGATTGCCAACTGATCAGCGGGGGGTGGGGGTGGCGAATATACTGCCCTGCCCTTATGCCTTTAATTGCTGTGTACTGTGCAGAAACAAAAGAGACCTTGGGTGTGTGTGTGTGTGTGATTATCTCCTGCCTAACGAGTGCAGACCAAAGTAGATGAGCAGGGCCATCTATCTAGACAGGCTACCGAGCGCATTCGGGCCAGCACGGCATCCTTCACATGCTCAAGGGGAAAAAAATGTACAGAAATCTTGTCTTTTGAGCACGTGCAGCGTGCCTTGCTGGCCCCACAGCGCTAGGCTGATGTTACTTATAGATAGACAGCTATACAGTACAGATATATGGATGGTTTCTTCTGCCCCTGGATGGTTTCTCCTGCCGGTGCACCGTTGCATCGCATTTCGGGCGAGGTGCGCCCGGTGTGCGCCAGGGCCCACTGGGCAAAAGCCCCTTCCCTCCCTTTCCCGCCTACCCGCCCGCAGGGCGTCGCCTGCTCCTCCCCGCGGCCGCGACACCGCTTGCAACGCTTCAGCCGCCGCCGCAGCAGCACGCGCGCGCCGCGGCGGAAGGTTGCCATGGTTTCGAGGGTCACATGAGCGCGAGGCTTCCCCCGGCGCTGGGAGTGGGGGGCGGGAGAGGAAGAGGCTACAGACGGCAGCGGGACGGGCTTCTTCCTCGCCTCGGCTGGTTGCAGCGCTCAGCCAGGGGAAAGCCCCCGAGGGCGGCAGTAGCAGCAGCGGCAGCAGCAGCAGCGCCCGCCACCATTGCATCCGTCCGTTTCGCATTTAATTTTTCCTCACAGTTTGCAAGACCGCGCCGCCGCTGCCGGCGGGCGTTAGCACCCATTGCACGGCGGGGGGAGGAAGGGGGAGGCTCGGGACCCCGCGGGGCTCCCCCCCACCCGCCTTCGTCTTGCTCCCGCCTCACTGCGCCCCCGGGATGAGCATCTCCGTCCCGGAGGGGCTGACGGAGCTGCTGCAAGGCTTCACTGTGGAGGTGCTGCGGAGCCAGCCGGGGGATCTCCTGGAATTCGCCCTCCAGTACTTCGGGCGCCTCAAGGCGGAGGCTCTGGCCGGTCAGGGCCGGCGGGAAGGAGCGCGAAGGAAGGAGCCGGGAGAGGAGGAAGAGGAGGAGGAAGAAGAGGACGGCCAGGAGGAGGGGAGCGGCGGTCGCCCCCATCCCGGCCATTTCAATGCAGCGCCGCCTGAACCCGGGCGGGGGAGCCGCCTGCAGCTCCGCAGGGCTCCCTCCGAGAGCCGAGGGGTCAACTTCGCCGAGGAGCCCATGCAGACCGACTCCGAGAGCGACGAGGACGGCGAGCCGGAAGAGTTCACGGGTATGGAAGCCCCACCTCTGTCAGA